CGCCGCATTATATAGCTACGATCTCCGAGGAAACCTCTAAGAAAACAAATTGGAAATCAAAGAGTTTGCTCTAAATCGAACAAATAATACACTCAGAGAAAAATTACAAGCCATATTCGATTTTAAGTGAAATTAATTGAAATTCCCTTGTATTTAAACATAAATGTATTGAAAAGTATATTTAATCACTTAACAATAAAAAAAATATATTTATTTTTGTAATTTGTAATTTGTAGGAAATATATATTAATTTCAAGCAAGAATTATATTTTCGAATATTTTCATATTTATGCCAAAATGTAAGTTAACACTTTTTTGTATTGAAATCCAATTTAAAATATTTAAAACATAATTTAATTGAATAGAAAAAATAAAAAATAATATTTCTTCGAACTAGAAAATGTGCATTTGCTCCTTCTGGAGCTGGGCTTTATAGCAAATATAGAGCATCAGAGTGTGCGCGGCATTTTCCCAGCCATGAATTTTGTTTCGTTTCGGGGCTTCCACATTCCACCTTTCGAAGCCAAAATTATGCACCAACAACCACAGGGTGGGGCGGGAAGAAAATCCGGGGAAAATGGAGGAAAGCAAAGCCAAAGAAGGGAAAAGTAAAGAAGCACAAGGAATACTTTAATCCTATTGACGTTTAATCAAGAGTGAGGCAGGAAATGAGGGGCATCGAATGGGATGGGGACACAAAGAAAACCGTCTTACGGGCAATTACCAGCCAAAAAAAAAGGAGAACAAAATAACAGCCAGAAATCGTTTATAAATTTTCCTGTTGAATTTTCAATTGGCCCATGAATTTCCATTTCAACGCGACCGAGGCGACAGAAAGGGGGGGTGGGGGTGTGGCGAACAGACACCAAAATTGTTTACCTTGCGACCTTCTCGATTCTCGAGCTGTAACCTGTTGATGGAAGCCCAAGCCCGAGCCACAATAAGCCCAGGCGGGGCAGGTGGGGAGGGGGCAGGGGGGAGGGGGGGGCAATATTTAAAGCGCTTAATAAATAATCACATTTGCATTTTCACTTGTTGATTTTTCGGTTGCCAGCAGAGACAAGCCAAAATTCTCCGAGTGCCGGCAATTTTTCTGCTGACTTTTGGATAACTTTTGGGGAGCACCAGCGAGCTTGGAGGAGACAGCGCCAGAGCCGGAGGACATTGAAATTAGCCAGGCACTCCAAGCATGTCCCCAATCCTCCTGCCCTGTCCTGTACCCCGCACTGAGTGCATTTTGTGCCTTGTCATTGGGAGGCTAAATAAATTGAAATTAGACGATGTCAGCACAAAAAGCCAAAAGTGGCCAACGAGGCAGCAGGGATACAGCAGAGAGCAGGCAGAGAGACAGCTGGATGACAGGAGTGGACTGTGGGTGGAGCCCTAGAGACCGACAAGTGGTAGTCACAACATTGACTGGGCGTTTTCCGATACCCACAACCCACAACCCCAACCCAACCCACACACACAGGAGTCCTTCCTGCGGCTAGTTGTGGCTTCCACGGGCAAAAATTGCCGCTCAGATTCTGTTTTCGAAAGTGAAAATGGGAAATTTCACAGTGATTTGATGGCGATAATGGATCGTGGCTGGATAATCAAAGCAATATTCAGATGGAAAGTCTGCTCTGCAGAATAATCTAATTAGATTTTTAAATTTAAGCCAATAGCAAACATCGGTGCAAATACCGAGAGTGGAAATTGACTCTAAGATATGTAAGATATTTATTTTAAAATACAATTTTCGTATTTTTATTTTGATTGATTCCTAGTGTTTCCGGTGAAGAAGAAGATACTATGGACAGCTGCTTTGGGAAAGCCAGATGAAGAAAAAGAGCAGCTGCTTTCCAGTAAACAAAGCATAAACAGCTGATGCAATCATCAAAGCAACTCTGTGTGTTTGCGCTTAACAGCACCTTGTTATTATGTTTCGTTCCGACAAATTACCGGCCTTCGAGAAAGCAGTTTTTTTTAAATCAAAGTGAATAAAAAAGGGAATTTAAAACCAAATATTTATCATAATTAAAATGTGTACTATGCTATTTATCTCTGTGTGGACATATGGCAGGGTTTCACCAAAGTTTTCTTTTTCGTTTGGCTTTCCATACATTCCTCCTTTGATTCTCTGGTTGCTGCTGCTGTTTTTTGTTAATTTCTTGGCTTAAACTCTCTCGGTGCCATTTCATTAATTTCCTGATCTATCTTCATATTTATCTTTGTGCTTTCCAAAGTTCCAGGACCAACTGGAAGTTGACTTAATCTACAAAAACTTTTTCGTTTCTTCAATTTGCGAACAGAGACCTCCCTCCACTCACCACTCCGCCAGTCATCAGCTTTTCTGGGGAAAATGGAAAGGCAGAAATTAAGTTATGGAGGGGGGCGGCAGGGTAAAATGCGTTTAATTGTGGGTAACAATGGGCGACGCGTCGACAGCGTTTTTCTTGGCCCCAGCCAGCACCTGTGGCATAAATTGTTGGCCCGATTCCCAATGATCCCGCCTGTCCCCTCCGCACACACTGCCGCCCTTCTGGGCTCCCAGTGGCTGTGGGGGAGTCCCTGCCTGCATGATGTTTGTACATGGGCAGATTTATGCTGAGTATGCGTAACATTTGCCTGGCAATATTTCGGCAGCGACAGCATTTTTCCCCACTTTCTGTCCGACCAAAAAATTCCCCAGTCCCTCCCCCTCTCTGCCTCTCTGTCTGGTGGGGGCTTTGGGCTCCTCGTTTTGCCATTACCTCATCTTGGGTCTTCTCCAGCAAAAGCCAAACATTAAATCACTTAAAATGCCAGTCCAAGCCCTGGACAAACACAGACTGAGAGAGAGTGAAAAGAACGCGGGAAAGCCGCGTGAGTGAGTGAGTGGGGAAGCGGACGAGGAGGAGAAAAATGAGTGGGGCAAATAAGGAACAGAGGAAGTGGAAGTCCAAAAACGAGAGTAGATGGAGGCAGAGGCAGAGCCAGCGACAGAGGAGAGCAGACGACCAAGGGGTCTGCGGTTTTGACTGGCGCTAAGAGCTTCTGGAATTTTAGCACCCCTCAAGTCTCCATCTCTCTTCCCTCCCCCTCTCTTTCTCTATATACATACGTGCACATCCGTCAAGTGGGGTCTCCACTGTGTTGTACTATTTTGTGCGCACAAAATGTTTTTGTCCTGCCATTTTGACATTCAACGATGATGGCATTTTCATAATAATAAGCAGTTCCGTTCCTCTTCAGTCTTAGGATTTCTGTTGCATTCCTCCTCACTCTCTCCCTCTCTCGGACTCGGGCAAGTGAGAATAACGGTAATTTGTTGAAATTCCATTCGATGGAATGGAAAATGGAATGAGATTTCGTGCACTTTTGCTCATTTTCTATGCCTGGGGGCAATGATTCAAGTAAATGCAGTTTAACATCAATTATGAACCGGTTCAAAATTTTTTGGGAATTGAATGTCTTGATGAGAACTCACAAAATTTGTTGCCGTATGCATAAATGCCTCTAACAGTCCCGACCTCAATCCGTTAGGAAATTTCTAAGCCCAAAAAAGGGAAGTGGAAGCCAAAAACTACGCTTGAGTTAGGGGAAATCATAGAAGAAGTTTGGTCTGAGGATATAACGGATGAATATCTATAAGCTTTATACGATTCGATGCCCAATAAAAGCCAAGGGCGATACCAAAAATATTAATTAATTCAAATTTAACAAAAAAAATGATGCAATAATACTATTTATTGTAAGTTAATAGAAAACAAAATAACATATTGGAAAAAATTTAGTTTTTGTTGAATAAATCGTTTCTATAATTATACTGAATTTTTTTTCTTCGTTTAATCAAATTCAAACTCAATGACCGAAAAAAATGTTAGTTGGAAACATTGTTTTTTTTATAATTTTATGAATATGAACTCAAACAATTTAGTATGTGGTTTTGTTTGGAATTGATTTAATATTGACAGAAAACAAAATTTAGACGAATCGAATAGCATTTGGGAAAACCCCACGCGGGAGAAGTCAAAAATGCATAAAATATCAGAGTGCGTATTTTTTTGTCGCTGAGTTTACGAATCAAAACCGAAAACGCATAATCAATATTTTACTTTATTTTTTAATTATAGAAACACTTGGCCTCCGAGCACTATTACTTTTAATATAAAATATAATACTGATAATATAATAATAATATAATTAAATTAATAATAAATTAATATGCAATTAAAAAAATTTAAAAAAAATCTTTCACTTTGATTTTGAAATGATTATTTTTAAATGATATAAAATCAATATTTAATAAGTAAAAAATAATTAAAACATATTATTAAGGTCCATTGAATATATTATTTTCATTCTACAGTTTTGGGATCCTATTAGATTCACAGATTTCAATTCGTACCTATTATTCCGAAATCGTAGCCGCAAACAATGGCGAAAATCGGAGCATGGCTATAATAATACAAAATAAATCTATAAAGTTTGCATCATCATTTATATTTGTTTATCATTCGTCGCCCAATTGACGCTTTCAAGCGCTAAAACGAATTTCTTCTTCATCTGCATAATAATAATTGACCTAAGAATTATTTTCTGGCGAAAAGTCTTTGTCGTATGCTTAATATTTTCAGCACCACTTAGCCACAATTTTGAGCAATGGGATTCTGGGACGGACTTAGCAGCGGTCAGAGACGCATCAGAGGTAAAAAGAGAATTGAAACGCCGCGCGCGTCCCTCATACAACATCTCGGTATTGCTTAGTCTTTGGTAGAAGTGTTTACCAATGAGTGGAAAAAAGATTCAACAAAATGTTTAGTTTAAATAACGTTCTGTTTCTTTTTTACTTGGCCATTCGTTTGCGCTTCGAAGCTGCGCTAAACCTTTTCAGAAATACCCTACTTTTCGATGAGGCATCAAGCGGGGGTATCGATAAGAGTCCATCGAAATGAATGGCAACGCCACGTGCTAAAAACTTGTAGAGCAAATCAAAAACTCGTGTATTTAAAGTACCATCGAATATTGTTTCAAAGATGTCTTCGTCAGTGGCGGCCCGCGGCAAGGCCTCTCGTTTGAATCCGAGCTTGAAGCCGGAAAACTTTCCAAAATGCGCTTCCGAGGCACTTATTCTGTTGGGTATGTACAGGCAGCACGTGGATCAGTGGAGGTTATTTGAAGCCTATTGCAATTAACTTTTTGTTGGCAGAAACTCTTTTGGTTGGCCGAAATACACAAGATCTGGTAATCAAAATCGTTTCGGAAAATATTTTCCTGGAGCGGATCAATGATGGAGGCGGACGCGCGCCCCAGATGGCGTTCATGCAAGAGTATCAATTGACGGTTGCGCTCATTGAGTTCTTCTCGAAGCCAGGACCACGACGGGATGACATTTTTCATGCACTCTTTGGCAGCAAGCTATCACCGCGACGCAGCAGCCAGCTCGTCAAGCTAGTAAGCACTGCCGTGTCGGCATCAGTGGTCCCAGTGCTCACCGCGGCCGGCGCCTGGCTGCAACAAGTCGGCTACAAGAGCACACTGAGCCAGGAAGTTACCAAACAAATTGCCGCTGATTTCACATTGCACTCGCTACCTGCAAGGGAGAAACTGGAGCAATTGTCCATGATTGTCCCGCACTTTGCAGCTAGGTTTATGGTTGCTGTGGCCGATCTCTACCTTAATGAGAAGCGATCGGCCGGCCTAACACCGCCGCCGGAGGCTCTTTTAGATGTCTTTACCGAATGGATGACTGAGAACCCAACCGTCATATGCCAGGCTCCTCCGCCTGGCGTGGGGCTGCCAGCCGGTGCCACTCCAGGGCCATTCGTCAACCCCTTGGCTAGCCTCCTGCGATGGACAGTACTGGCGCCATTGGTCTCCCAGGGAGCCGCCTACAGCAAGCTGCATTTATCTCTCCTGACAACGATCCAGCAAGTGGCAACCGTAAACAAGAAGACCGTTCTACCCAACAGGGAGCTGATGCAGATTGTCAAGTCTTTGCAGAGCTACTGCGCTCGATTGCGTGCACGGAAAGTGAAGCCAGAACACGATGACGCTTATCAAAGATCCATGGCACGGTTCGCCCAAGCAGTGCAGATCGCCCTTTGCTCCAAGTGCATAGCCAATCGGTATCCGCTGCTAGCTGCAGTGAAGTTATTGCCACCCTTCAAGCTCATGAGCATCGTTATAAGTTCTCAGAAAAGGCGGTAGGTGTTTCACCCCTTTGTTTCTCAGCTGGAAAAGTTTCTGAATAAAATGTAAACAAGAAATCTTGGCAATTGTCGAGTTTATCATTCAGATCCATCCAAAAAAGGAGTCTCCAGAAAGGTTTGGCCCTCCCTTGCATCGGCATGGACCTCCCTTACAGCCTTTCGCTCTTCTGCCCTGCAGGCGGGTCCCGGCTTGCTGTCACGAGCCTGTGCCGCAATATCTCGACCCTCGGTACAGCTGTGTAGCTCTGGAGGGCAGCGATAAGGCAGAATGCATCACTGTCGCTGGCGATCTAATGCATTGGCCGATGAAATGGTGGGAGCTCCTAGCAGGGACTGTTCAATTTATTAGCTGGAACCCCGATTGGTCACCCTCACTTAGAGCTTAGCGTGCTGCAGGAATTGTGACAGCCCCTTGCCAGGAAATGGAGGTGACGCGGCACGTGTTCCGCCAAAAGGCCGTTCCATCGGGCCAGTAGTAGAAAATTTCCATATTGTATATCCAAAACTCAATTTCTATGAATTTATTGCAATTTTTATGGAATTTTTTACTTTTGTTTTTGTATTATTTTCCTGGTGTTTGTGTTTTCTTTGGTGGAAAAAGGAGCAAAAACGAACCTATTCAGTTTTTGTTCTCTTGAATTTTATTTTGGAAGCCATTATCGCCCTTTGGGCATATGAAGTTGGGTTCAAATATTTGTGGATTTATTTATAATGTTTTTCCAGCTTTTCCACCCACACACACACACCCACACACACACAAACATACACATAAATTACCGCCACCCCATCTATTGACTACTCGCTACCTCGCTTCCTTGAGTGTTGTATGCAAATAATTGCCGAGTGCTCCACCCCCCCAGCGCCAACGAGTGTGCTTCGTACTCGTGGCATAGTTGTTTGTGTAGGCTGATGCTGATGCTGCTGCTGCTTTTTTGGGGGTCCACGGTCCAGGGTCCAGCACTCAGTCCTGGACTAATAAGCCGGGGGCGGTCGGGGGGGTTTGGGCGGAAATTTAAACAATGAACTGCCATGCCCATTAATATTACTTTGGGCCACTCGCAACTTTGACTTTGCTCCTTGCTGCTTGCTCCTTGATGCTCCCTCCCCTGCTTTCACTCTGTGTGTGTGTGTGTGTGTGTGTGTGTGTGTGTCTGTGTGTTTGTTTGTTTGTTTGCCTTGTCGCTGAGCCAACAAAAGCGCCAGACGTGAGAGCGCGGTTTTGGCTTTTGTTTTTTTTGTTTTTTAATTTTATTTTTATTATTTTGCTGGTGTTTGTGTTGGAAAGTTCACAAGTCGCTTTGATTCCCGTGGCCCTTGGACAGGCTGCCACCTGCCTGTTCGGGGCGAAATAATATGCATGCAGTGGAATGGCATTTCAGAAGAACGCAAATCCAAAATCCACACTATTCGGAAACAGTTTCAAAATAAATACATATAGAAATCTCTCTGAGAGACAGTCTGTCACGGAATCTGTTAAAGTAGAAGCGATTTCAACCGCAAAAACGATTCGAAGATCTAGAAAGATTTTTTTAATGCAAGTTTGTGTTTTTTTTGGCAAACTGAATTGAATTTCACTCTCAGGGAAAATCCAAAAAGCCATTTTCCCTCAACTTTTCGTCACTGAGAGTGAGAGAGAGAGGGGCGCCAGCCAGAGGGCAAATGAAGAGGAAGCAGCATGAGGGCAAGGGGAAGAGCAAGAAACAAAACAGAGAAAAGAAAAAATATAAGTTTTTCGAGAGAGAATGGGTGAAGGGAGCGGGTAGGGGAGGTGGGGTTTTTTTTGGGGGGGGAGGGGAGGTTGAAACAAAGTTATTATTACTTTAATTTTGTGAGTCAGTTGTGAGGACTCGAGCGTCGAAGTTTTTTCGGTTTTTCTTTGGTTTGTTGGAGGATGTGGTGTTCCAGTCCCCACTGTGATTCGTCCCCCCCTCCAGTGCCCTCTCAAACACTGGCGCCACCCTTCCGGCCCGCCCTGCATTATCCAGCTGCCGGGCTTTCAACATACCCTGTGCAGCCTACGAAAATCGTGTACCCCTGACATGTGTGGCCGTTACTCTTCTGAACATTTTTTATTTTAATATTATTTGGTCTTTTTTTGGAACGCAGATATTCGTTGCAGCTTCTTTCTCTGGAAAATCATTTAAAAAATTTAAATAATAAATAAATATTAAAAAAAAAACATAAAACACAATCAAAATTAAAAAGAAATAAAAACCTTATTAATAAAAAATAAAATAATTCAAAATTAAATAAAATAATCTTGCTCATTGCAGTTTCATCGAAAAATTCCGAAGGAATTCACTGGAAGCGCGTTGCGGATCAATCCCTTCCTTTACTCCGCCCCGGAAAAGAACAAGACAATCGGGCGGATCAGGGAGAACCAGGGCGGACCAGTTGGAATATCAGCAGCACTGGGAAAGGACAAACTATCCAAGATAGTGGCCAAGAGTGTGGAACAAGCTGAAACCCATACAAATGAAAATCGAAATGGCATTAAGGAAAATCTTAGGGCTTTCTGGAAACTGGAATGCAATACAGTATTGGGAATTGTAATGCTTTTGCTTCAATTTCTACAGAGTGTGAGTCCGATTTGAATCAGAGCCAGGGAACGTGCAGAATGAATCATTTTTCCTATCTACGGATCTATGTATATGATATGCTATGATAAGCAGATCTCTAGATCTTATAAGTAGCTGCCATTGAAGCAGTGGATATGCCAGGATAGCTAGGGCTTCGGTTCGAAACGGAATTTTCTTTTATTTTCTTTTCTTTCTTGTTGTTTCTTTTTGAAAATTAAAAAGTTCCTCTCCAAAGAAGAGCTCCAAGGAAAATTCGTACCCGCTGGCCCCCCACACCGTTTTTGCATGGAAGGAGGGGGGAGGGGGGGAACGGACATGTGTGCTTGTGGCGTGGCTCTTTGTGTGTGGTTGTTGCCACTGTCTGAAGTTTAATATGTTCCCCAAGGGCCTCATTAGTGGTGCCCCCTGTCGCTCTTTTTCCCTTTCTCTACCTCTCCCTCTCCCTCTCGCTGCGCCACCATCTAACGGTATAGATATACCCGCCTAAAACACACAACATTTGCTTTACACTACTATTTGACATCGGTTGTTGTCTGCAAATCTTTTCCTTTTTTGCTTTTCGGTTTGTTTTTCCCCCTGATTTCTCTTGATTGAACAGAACACAACCGAAAAGTCCACACAGAGAGGTGGCGGGGGGGATAGACGAGAACGCTGGACGGGGGCATGGATATGGTTAGGTGAGGTTTCAACTTTAAAGTGGAGAACGCCCTAATGAGTGCTATTATGGGGGCCTGCACTGGGGCCAGGCCCCCAGGGAAAACCCGAACGTGCTCCTTGGGGCTCGCTTTGTGCATTCGCTGGATTGAATATTAAGCCGACACTTGTCAGTGGGTCGGGGCACGGGGAGCGGGGAGCGGGCGGGGTGTTTGTCACTAATTTTATTGGTAATAGTGCGGATGGGGAAAATTGGCGAATTGAGAGACAGAAAGTGGGGCGGTGGCAGTCTCAAATAAATTTAGAGACCTACATTTTTGAGTAAGTTTCAAGTTCCTCGAAACAATGATTACCGAGCAGAAGAGTACCCAAGGAATTGTTAAAAATACCCATTGTTGGTGTTTGAATCTCAGCTGTGCCCCCAGTTCTAGGACTCCGCCTCATACCGAACCCCCCGAGTCCTGAAAGAATATATCCTATGCCATATCCTGCGTATTGTAGGTACATATATCCTATGGCTGTGTATGAATGTACGTGTGTATGCTAATGTCTTGATTACAATATCACTAATGGCGCCAATTTGTTGTTGCCCTCGTGTTGGCATTGTGGATGGGCTTCCAAGAGGCGGAAGTAGCACCAGAGGCCAAAGAAAGACGCCACAAAAGGCAGACGAAAAGCGAAAGGAGCAGAAGCTGGAGCTGAAGCATCGTAAAAAAGGAAAGGACCCATAAAGTAGCCAAAAACGAATACGCAATTCGACAAAGCGTAGAAAAAAATACAAAAAAAAAGAAGAAGAAAAGAGGAAATCTGAAAACGAAATGATGCCCAGGACTCCGACTGGATAAGGGTAGGGATAGGGCTGGGGCTGGGGCTGGGGGTGGTGGTGGCCTAAATACGACACCGAGATACGGTTACGGGAGCGGTGCCGACGCCGGTGGCCCTTACGGCTGAACGAGTCCAGTGTGTGTGTCTCCCGTTTGTGTGTGTGTGTGTGTGGTAAGCCACAGGCAAAAGTCTGCACAAAACCTGCTCAAACTCAATTCGACTCAAGGCCGCCGGAGAATGCACTCAAAATGAGAGCCCACAGAGAACCGCCAAAAGAGAGGCAGACAGAGAGAGAGAGTGCGAGGGAGAAACAGGGTTCACTCAACCCAAAAGAATTGGGGACTGGAATCACGATGCCTCAGGCGTACTATGGGCATTCCATATTAAAAACACGACAGCTTCGTAGTCCCATCAGATTCGTTGGTTTCTTTAGTTCTTCCTCCGACATTTCCATACAAAGTAAATATATTTGAAAGACTTAATGGTCGTACTTTTGCCTATTCTACTCGACCTATTTCTGATCTATTCGACAGGGCTAAGGCTATCCAAAACAAGGATACGATAGGATCGAGGTGGTAATCGATAATCGAGTCTAGCCAGGGCAACTAAAGGCAACTAAAAGTTAGTTTTTGTAACGAGTAGTTGGAAAACTTCTCGTTGATTCCACTGTGGGACCAACGGATAGCCCCAAAATCAACTCAAATTCTCTGAAACGTGAGAGTGCTGGCTGGCCCTCCGTCACTGCTCTCATTTTGGTGGCCATGTGCTTCCGCCTTACGCTCTCTCTCACTCTGTTTGCACAGGGTATAATGAATCTCGTATTGTGTGATGGACCATGCAAATATTTCTAGAACAAGGAAGCTGTAAGGGTATCTAAAGCCTCGACTAGTTCGAGCTCCCTACTCAAATGTTGAGCAGGACAGTCTCGCTCTCTCGCTCT